GAATCCTTTTTATGATGAACACTTCATGAGAACAAGTTCTCTGGATTTCATTTGGAAAATGCTGAGCTAAGCCAAATTTTGTTAACACTTCTTGGAAGTGACACAGCTATCAGATTTTGTGATGTTGGAGCAGGAGAAATCTTCCCTTGCTTTGCCAGGCTATGCCACTGCTGGGCAGGTTGCTGCTAAACTTGCTGTTGGAGAGAAGAGATGTGGGGAACTTTTCAATATGACAGGTCCCCACTGGCTATGGCTGCCAGCATAGTGGTCAGCCTGCATTCTTCTCTGGTTCCAAGGTCCCCAGTGGCTTCAGGTCTTGGGAGTGGACATCCAGGCATGGTTGGATGGTTTGATAATATGAGTACTTTATGCTTAAAGAACATGAGAAGAGTTGGTTAGAAATTTACCTAATGTCTTCTTTTCTGTGGTCCACCATCTAGGTCAAATAACTTTAAAGACTCTTTTATGTTCGTCCAATGGGAAAAAAATCCCTTTCCCATTCTTTACTTTCCTTGGAAGTTGATATTGCTTCTCTCAGATTAATAGAGCATTAGTTGGCTTTCAAAGCCTTTTTGAATAATGTTGCTGATTTTTTATGCTTTTTATGTATGTATTTTTCATGCTTTTTATGACTTCCATGTAATTTAGGGCTTAAGGAAACTCAACATATTTGGGGGGCATTTGGAAAAAATAGTTCTGGATAGACAGCATCTTTTAAAAATATTTGGATGTTAGCAATTAGGGTCAAATTCATAAATGCTTCTGTGTTGCTGTGATTAACACTTTTGATACATCTTTTGTCTCTCTAACTGTAGATCAATCTAGGGTTGAACATGAGAACCAAAATGTTCTAGAACACGAATGTTACTTTCGTATTCTCTTGGGGTGTATTAGAATCAGAATTTAATTACACACAAGAGAAAGCCCTATAAAAACGGTGCCTATCGTCATGTGGGAGCCCCAAGTAGGGAAATATCCATCCTCATGACATCCTCTGGACAGTGGCTAGGATATAGGTATAAGGGAATTTGGTGACCAATGCAGTGTTTAAGTTAAATTCCATAAAGGCAGTGATTACTATGCTGATGTCAATGTTGGAGCATGAAAGATCAAAGCCTGAGGGTTTATCCCAGAAAAAGTGACATCAAACTTACAGAAGTACAAGGAAAAAATAAGACACATGTTTACAATAGCGCCATTAAAAATCCCATGAACCAGCTACTACGAGGATGTAAATTATTAGAGATTTGACTAAGGAATTTATCTAAGTATGATTCATTTTTGCTCTATATAAATTATGCTACAATATAAAGCATGGGTAAAAAGTAATCTGTTATTTAGAAAAAAATATTCCAATTAGGCTACTTTGTCTACCCCCCTCCCCCAAAAAGTGTATTGTTTTGGTCATGGGAATAAGTTCTGGAATTAATTAAATCTTGGTTCTGCTACTAATTTACGTGATTGAACAACTTGGCTATGGTTTGGAAGTGGTTCGTCCTCAAAGGGACAACTCTGGGAAGCTTGGCCTAGTGGGATCCGATCAGGTCATTGTAAGTGCTGCTCTCAGGAGGTAAGAAGGTGCTTCCATGGGACCCTGAAGTAGTTCTCACAGGAGTGAGTTGTTATAAGAGTGAAACACTTATTGGTGGAATTGTAAATTAGTACATACACTATGGAAATCAGCATGGAAGTTCTTCAAAAGACTAGGAATGGATCCATTATATGACCCAGCTATACCTCTCCTCATGTTTATCATGTGGTTTTTGTCTTTTGGTGCCTGGATTATTCCACTTAACATAATTTCTTCTTGTTATATGTAAAGTGTTGGTTCCAGGGGGCTGGGGTAGTGTGTGTGTGTGTGTGTGTGTGTGTGTGTGTGTGTGTGTAGGGGGGATGTGGGAGATTTTTTGGGCAAAGTTATAAAATTTCAGTTGGATAGGAGGAATAAACTCAAGAGATTTATTGTGTAGCACGATGACTGTGGCTAATAGCAATATCTTCTGTTTTTGAAAAATGTTAAGAGTAGATTATGAAACTTCTCACCATACAAATAAATTTGTGAAGTGATATATATGCTAATTTGCTAGATTTAATGATTTCATAATACATTCCACAATTTCAAAACATCACATTACATAAAATAAATACATTTTTAAAAATACATGTGTGTTATGTCAATTTTTGTAAAGAATAATTCATGAAAAGAAAATATATAAATTGAACTTCAAGAAAAAGTAAATGTTTGTGCTGCGAAAGACACTATATTAATTAAGTGAAAAACAGCCCAGTGGAGAATGGGAGAAGATAGTTACAAATCATATATTCAAGAAGACTCTTGCATTTAAAATATTTAAACAACACTAAACACTCATTTGTTGGATGAAATGTACTGTCTGTTACATTTGGTCTATAGAATTTTTTGAGTCCACAAGTCAGCTGTTCTTTTTTGATTTTCTGTCCAGATGATCTGTCTAGAGTTGAAAAGTGGGATATATAAATTGGGATACTGAAATCCTCTTATTTTGGTGACCATTTTTTTTCATGGATTTGCTAATGTTGGCTTTACATATTTAGGTGCTCTGATGGTGTTTGCATATATAGTTATAATTGTCATATCCTATTGGTGAACTGATTCCTTTATCATCAAATATTAACCTTCTGTATCCTTGGTGACAGATTTTGAATATAGCTATTCTAATCTGTTTTATCATTTGAATGGGATACCTGTTACCATGTCTTCACTTTCAGTCTATTTCTGTACATAAGTCTACAGTGAGTCTCTTGGAGGACACATGTTGTTGTATCTTATTTTTTTTTTTTAAATCCACTTATAGTCACTCTGTCTTTTGATTAGAAATGGCAATATGTTTACATTTAGAATAATCATAGATAGGTAAAAACCTACCAGTGACATTTTATTAATTGTTTACTGTTTTTTAAAAATTTTAATTAGTTACACATGACAGTAGAATGCTTTAATATATCATACATAAATGGGTATAATTTCTCATTTTTCTGATTGTACATGTTATAGAATTATGTTGGTCATGTAGTCATATATGTATAAGGTAATAATGTCTGTTTCTACCATTTATTGACTATTTTGTAGGGATTTTGTTTTGTTTTTCAAATATTTTTTTATTAATAATATTTATTTATTTATATTTTTATTGGTGAATTATACTTCTACATAATATTGGGGATTCATTTTGATCCAATCACACATGCATGGAATATAATTTGCTGCCATCTTTTTTGTGATTTACTGAATTTTTGCAAATGCATTTATAGCTATTATATTTAAGAATGTTTGCATAGGGAGAATTATCAGGATAGTAAAACTTGGATGTCTCTCCCCAGAGGCAGTCCAGGATGGTAATCAAAGAGTTGTATGTCCCCATCTGGAGAACTTTTACTCACATTACAGAGTAGAAATAGGTTTTCTCTCAACAGACAAGTGGATGGGTAGGTTTCCAGCAATACTATATAAGACCAGATTTTCCTGATTTGAGCATTTCTTTCCCATAAGGCATCCTGCTCCACAGACTGGTACCATCAGTTTTCTCTTGGTATTGTTTGGTTCCCTATCCACTATTCCTACCTTAGCCTGTGGGTCTGGATCTTCTGGAAATGTGAAGAAACATAGCAAACTCCAACCTGTCAATCCTTGCACTCCCTTTGGTTTAAATGACTGTCAAGATTGGGAGAAGAACAAGAACAAGTAATGTCAGCCCTTTTATTTACATTGCCAGATGGTATATGTTTGATATCCATTCTCTCATATTCTATTTTATTTGTTTTCCAAATGGTGAGAACATTGGGGTTTGAGTCCATATTTGACTTCTAGATTTATGCTTACACTCCTATATTTTTCCTCATTTTTTTTGGACACTGAGTGGTATAAAGCATTAAATTCAGGAAAATTTGTTGTTCTGTAGCACAAAAATCTGCATTGGATCTTGTTCTCCTTCTAAGAAGTACAACCTTACGGGGTATATAAATTGGGATACTGAAATCCCAATTTATAGTTGGGGATTCAAATTATATTTTATCAATGATAAAATTAATATGCCCCAAGTCTTCCTTATTACTGTGTCAATCTACTAATTCCTAGGGAAACTGCTGGGAAAAAATATATTGGACCCAATATTGATAAGTATTCAATTTATTATCTTTTATTTCTTCTTTTTTTGCCAATATTATCCAAAGAAATGATTCTTCAAATTTTAATTTATAATTTACAATACAAATTTTAATTTACAATAGTAAATTGATTAGCCATACAGAAATATGAGTAAGAATACTTTCAAGAGAACATCTTTTCAATTTTGCTCTGATGAGTATATGCTCTGTACAAAGTACAAAGTACAAAGACAACATTGATTATGCATTTATCTTAGATTGACTTAACTTTTCTTTTTAAATGGAAGGTACTTAAAAAACGTTCATCAAAATGTACAAAAGCATGTGGCTCAGCGGTAAAGTGCTTGCCTCCCACATGTGAGGCAGTGGGTTCGATCCTCAGCACCACAAAAAAGTATAAAAGTAAATAAACAAAATAAAGAAACTGAGTCCATGTATAACTAAAAAATATTTTTTAAAAATGTACAAAAGCTGTATCAAAGGCATCTTTTCAGATGCCTTTTAAAACACATTAATTAGAAGTTAATTTATTTAATCATTTGAGATGTTTTTCTACAACTTTTGGTGGAATGTGATGGGCATCATTATCCAAAGAACATGTATGAAGACACGAATTGGTGTCAACATACTTTATATACAACCAGAGATATGAAAAATTGTGCTGCATATGTGCAATAAGAATTGTAATGCATTCTGTTGTCATTTATTTTTTTTAAATCAATAAAAAATGCTATTGATATAATAAAGTAATGACTTTGTGCCTCACCAGCATTTGCCACATTTTCTGAGGTTGGGAAATAAGGGAACATTTTTGGTTTGCTTTACAAACCAAGCTGAGTTAGAAATCGCAATTCAAATTATAAGCACTTGTTTGCTGTCTTTCTTATAGCTTCTGTCACATCTTGGTTTCTCAAGCTATATATCAAGGGGTTTAACATGGGGATAATTATGCCATAAAACACAGAAGACACTTTTTCCTGCTCTTGAGACTCATTGGTATGGTGGTGTAGGTACATGTACGAGAGAGTCCCATAGAAAATGGTGACTGCTGTCAGGTGGGAGGCACATGTGGAGAAGGCTTTCTTCCTGCCTGCAGCAGAAGATATCCTCAGGATGGCAGCCAGGATGCAAGTGTAGGAAAAGATGACGACCAGCACAGTGAATGTCAAGTTAAACCCCACAAAGACAGTCAGCAGCATGATGTTGACGTGGATACTGGAGCATGACAGGGCAAGGATTGGGGGCACATCACAGAAAAAGTGGTTAATTGCATTGGATTTGCAAAAGTTCAATGAGAAAGTAAAACCTGTGTTTACAGAGGCATTCAGGAAACCCATGATGTATGAACCCAGCAGCAGCTGAATGCGGAGTCTCCGAGACATGACAACTGGATAGTGCAGTGGGTTACAGATGGCCACATAACGGTCCACTGCCATCGCAGCCAGAATATAGCAGTCACTTGTGGCAAAAGTACCATAGACCAATAGTTGCACCAGACATCCCATGAAAGAGATGGACTGCTTTATCTCTATGAAGTTCTGTAGCATCTTGGGAGTGATGGCAGAGGTGTAACAGAGATCAATAATGGCCAAGTGTTGGAGGAAAAAGTACATAGGAGTGTGAAGGGAGGAGTGGATCTTGATGAGTAGGATCATCCCGACATTGCCCACTAACGTGACCACATAGATCACTAGAAATAATATGAAGAGGATGTGCCGGGACTTGTGTTGACCTGCAAATCCCAAGAGGATGAATTCAGTCACTTCAGTGCTGTTGTTCTGTTCCATGGCTAGCGTAGATAAGACATCAGCTGAAAAGTTGTGAAGAAAGAAGAGTAGAGATAGGTAAGATGATTATGATCCTTTAACGTATTCAAGAACTGGAAATGGTAAGGTAATATTTGGTTTCATAATAAGCCAGAGAATACTTTCTGTTAACGTAATTGACTCTGACTTTATCAACTAAAACTTGACATTCAACTTGGATAATTTTATCTACAGTTTTGAGAAATTGACATGAAGCAGTAGTTATGTTCCTAGGTGACAGACTGATTGGCATTTTATAAATATATCAATTAACAAAATGTAAAACATACTTTAGTTTTCCTTTTTTGAAAAATCAAAGTATCTCAATTTAAGTAAATACTAACTTTTTATCTAAAAATCTTAACTTCTCCTTGAAATTTCTATGTAATCTTATCCCAATTTCTTTCTTTTTTTTAGTTTAGTTTGTACTCAATACCTTCCTTCCTTCCTTCCTTCCTTCCTTCCTTCCTTCCTTCCTTCCTTCCTTCCTTCCTCCCCCCTTCCTCTTTCTTTCTTTCTTTCTGTTGCTGAGATCAAACCCTTACACGTGCTAGGTGAGTGCTCTACCGCTGAGCCATAACTCCAGCCCGATCCCAACTTATTTCTACATTCTTAATTTACCTTTTCCATTTCTTACCAACTCTACTCTGGCCATCATGACTCATGGTCATAACCAAGTATGTCAAGTGTTTACATGCTTTAAAAAATTCTCAATCTGTTGTTCCAAAAAATTTGTAAAAGGAGATTAAAAATACTATAGCATTGCCAAAATTCCATCATTTATTTAAATGCTCGATTTTACTTCCTGTACTCATGCCATCATGGAGTGGTGCTGTACAGTCTAAGGTCTGATGCTGTTCCATGGACCACACTTTGAGTAGCTATGTCTATAGTATTTATCCTTCATAATTTATTTCTGTGTTCCCCTAGTGATAGACAGAAGATTGCTTATAACTTGTCTCTAAGACAAATAGTTCAGAGTGAAATTTTTTTCTGGGACATATTCTTGGTGAAAAGTTTTTTGAATTGAGGGTACTATGCACCCTTAATTGACCAAGGATTGCCAGATCTCTTGCCATTTCTCATGTACCAGTGTACAGTCTTCCCAGATGTGGGGTTGTTCCCATATCCTCACTTCCTGGTGAACATTATTTTTTACTGCTTTTTCTTTTTACCAGTAAAACATGTGTATGCAGCCTGCTGCATACTACAGAGGTACTTTCCTATGCATAAAGGACATGACCAGTCATTACTACCAAGACTATATGGGTAAGCTTGTCTACATACCGTGTTTATTGGAAACAAGTGAACTGCTTACTAAACCTCCAAAATCTCATTTATATTTTTCCTCTAATTACTAATAAATTTGATAATGATTTAATATTTTCCCTAGAACTCAAGCATAATAATTTTCTGTGAATTGCTTATTCGTATAGTTTTGCAAATATTTCTATTGGACATTAAAAAAATTGACTTTAAAAAAAATCCTAGATATGAGTCCCTTGTTAGTTTTTTTTATAATTTCCAACTTTTATTGCTCATATTCTTTTTTAAATTGATTTTTTATATATGACAGCAGAATGCATTACAACTCATATTACACATATAGAGCACATTTTTTTCATATCTCTGGTTGTATATAAAGTATATTCACACCAATTTGTGTCTTCATACATGTACTTTGGATAATGATGTTCATCACATTCCACCACCTTGTTAGTTGTTAATTTGACAAAGATTGTTAAATATTCTGTCATCTTTTTTGTTATATCTTTATTAAACTTGAAGTAATAATTGATATTTTTTGACTTATAGTTGGTCTTTGGAAAAAAAATTGAAGGAAGTCCTTTTCTTTCTCCATTTCCTTTCTCCAACAGATACAAATACAATAATAAAACTTATTTTTTTCTTATGGTGGATTAGTATTCCATCATGCTTATTGAGTCACAGTACTGTATATTATAAATAGAATGAGATAAATGGTTTTGGAATTTCCTCAATATTTATTTTTATAAAATAAATCCAAAAATACAGAGATTGATGGTATTCAGTTGATGTCAGTGTGTATGTTCCAAATACTTAAATGTTTTAAAACCACTGAATAATTTGACTTTATATTTCAAAATCTACTTACAAAACCACTGGAATCAACTATGCTTCAGTGAGGACCTATTAAACACTCATGGAATAACTGATTCAAATATTATGTAAAAATTTCCCCCCCAATTTCAAGAGAACATTTTCTAGCTTGTCTCATGAGGCTCATATACCTTTGACAGCAAAATAAATAAAACATAAGAAAATAAAATTAGAACATTACTCATTGTGAATATAGATGTGCACATCTTAGAAAATGTGTACTCACCAAATCCAGCCATGTATTATTAAATAAATGATTGTTCTGGACCAAGGGGTCTTTGATAAATAGCTATTTTCTTCCTTCCCTGGGTTTTTAATCAGTTAAGAAGTAAAAGAAAGTGAATATATCAGACCTTAATATCACCTTTAAGCACCTGAATGAGGACTTTGGGTTTATTAAGCAAGTTACATGTTGCTCATAAACACGGTAAGCAGGCAGGCTGACACACCTAGTCTTGGCAGGAATGACTGGTTATGTCTTTCACATGGTAGGAGAGTGCCTTTGGGGCTCAGGCACCTGGGATTTAGCAGGGTGGCTGCTGCCAAAAGGATGAGGACAGAGCAGGGCAAGCCAGTGTGTTCTCAGATTCATCAATTAAATGTCCGTTCCTCCTCTCCAGGAAAGGAATGGGGAGCTTGACATGGAGAGATGAGGCGTTGACTACATAAATTGAACTCCTTTTATAGGAAACAAATACCAAAAGCAGGGAAAAAGACATTTTTCCCCCCATTTGCAATAAAAACCATGTTACATTTTTCCCAGGAATGAGTATTTTTTTTAACCACTGGAAAATTTATTATATAATTTGCCATATTAACATAGAAAAGGAGGATAGTCAGATAATCTTCTCATAGATGCAAAATTATTTGGTAAAATTCTAATAGAGTATTAGAAAAATGGAAATGGAAGGGAAGAGTATTAGCTTGGTAAAGATTATCTCGTCCATTGCTGTGCTAATGCTTATTACCATAAGACAGAAGAAGCTGTACCTGTAAATGAAGGGATAAGGCAAGCAAGCCTGTTATGACTGAATCTATTCAGTACTTCCTGAAGTCCTCACCAAGGCAAAAGGAAATGCAAAATAAATGAAAATTATCATGATAGAAAGAACCACAACTATTTTTGGATGGTGTGATTGTCTCCATAGAAAACCATAAAGATTTGTCAGATAAATTCTTAGTAATCCTAGAATTGATGTCAACTATCAATTATGTTTCTATTTACCATAAACAGGAAAAATTTTATTTAAAAATTTTAGAGCTAAGAGTTTGGTTCAGTGTTTGATTAGGGATCTTTTCTTTTTTCTTTCCTTCTTCCTTCCTTTCTTTGTTTCTTTTCCTTCATTTCTTTCTTTTTTCTTTTGGTATTGGGGATTGAACATAGGGGTACTTTATCACTGTTATACCCCCAGTACCCAGCTGTCCTCAAAACTTTCAATTCTGTTTCTACTGAGTCGTTGGGAGTACAGGCATGTACCACTGCACCCAGCTTGCTTGAGGAAAATTTATATATACCCTGATTAACCTGTTTAAATTTTACAGGGAAGAGAATAGATCCCAGAATAGCTAAGATAATTTTAAAGGAAAACAAGATGTGAACTTTGTCTTATCAGACATGGGGGAAGTTATTACAAAGCAGCAATAATAAAGACAGTCTGGTATGGGTGTGAAGGTAGACTTATATCCATGGTGCTGAGAAAATGAATCAATGAAGAGATCTATCAGTCATGGAAACTTAATGTCTGAAGACAGTAGTAGCAAGTTGATCCATGAAAAATGTGGGGCTATAAACTTTCATAACATTAAAAAAATAATATTGGAGTCCTTCTTTGCATTTTGCAAAATCGGTTTCAATGGAATTAAGGTGTAGATTTGAAAGCTTCCAGAGTAGAAGAGCAGAATATCTATGGCTCAGATATACAGATAAATTTTAAAGAGCACAAATCATAAAACATTGAAAATCAACTTCATTAAAAATAAAAATTATCAATCTTATAAAAGAGAAAAATGATACTGACTGAATGTCACAGGATTAGTATCTAGTGTATCTAAATAATTTCTATAAATCAATCAAAAGAAAATCTTCATGAAAGACAGAGAATTATAGAAAATGAAACCTAAATGGTCAATGGAAATAGGAAATGATGCACAACTCACTAGAATTAGATAACCATATATGAATACTTCATTTAAATATAATTTTATGCTTATAAATTGAAAATACCAAGTTGTGGTCAGGATATGGAGCCACAGGGCCTCATGTATTTCTGCTGGAAAGGTATATTATCTTGTATTGGAGACAAATTAGAAAATATTAGTGAAATTAAATAAATACTTCCCTTTGATCCAGAATTTCAGTGGTTTAGTGAGCTTATTTCTGAGGCTCTGACCAAAAAGACCTGATAAGAAAAATGTGGAGAAGAAAAAATTTATTTTGGCTCCCAGTTTCAGAAGTCTCAGTCCATAGGTAGCAGACTCCAGAACTTGGAACCAAAGTGAGACAGAACATCATGGCGGAGGGGAGTTGCAGAGGAAAGCACCTCAAGACATGGCAATCAGAAAGCAGAGAGAACTCTGCTCACCAGCAACGAAATGTACACCCCAAAGGCATGCCTCCAGTGGCCTACTTCTTCCCGTCACATTTTACCTGCCTATAGTCATCATCCAGTTAATCTCTGTCAGTGGATTGATCCACTGATTGTCATACCTCTCATACTCTAATAATTTCACTGTGAGCCTTTTTGCATTGTCTCACCTATGAGCTTTTTGGGGCACCCCAATCTAAACCATAATATAAATATACATGTATATGTAATACACATATATGCACAAGAATATTTATA